GAATGTGATGATAGACGTGATGATGAATGTGACGACAGACGCGGTGTTGAATGTGATGACAGAAGTGGTAATGGAAGTGACGACAGACGTGGTGATGAATGTGATGATATACGTGGTGATGAATGTGATGACAGACGTGGTGATGAATGTGATGACAGACGTGGTGATGAATGTGATGACAGGCGTGGTGATGAATGTGACGACAGACATGGTGATGAATGTGATGACAGACGTGATGATGAATGTGACGACAGACGTGGTGATGAATGTGATGACCGACTTGGTAATGAATGTGATGACCGACGTGGTAATGAATGTGATGACAGACATGGTGATGAATGTGATAACAGACATTGTGATGAATGTGATGACAGACGTGATGATGAATGTGATGACCGACGTTATAATGAATGTGACAACAAACGTGGTGATGAGTATGATGACAGACGTGAAGGTGGATGTGATGACCGACGTGATGACGAATGTGATGACAGACGTGGTGATGAATGTGAGGCAGACGTGTTGATGACCGACGTGATGATGAATTCGATGACAGAAGTGGTGATGAGTGTGATGACAGACGTATTGATGAATGTGATGACAGACGTGGTGATGAGTGTGATGACCGACGTGGTGATGAATGTGATGACAGAAGTGGTGATGAGTGTGATGACCGACGTGAAGGTGAATGTGATGATATACGTGATGATGAATGTGATGACATATGTGATGATGAATGTGATGACAGACGTGGTGATGAGTGTGATGACCGACGTGGTCATGAATGTGATGACAGACGTGGTGATGAATGTGATGACAGACGTATTGATGAATGTGATGATAGACGAGGTGATGAATGTAATGACCGACGTGGTGATGAATGTGATGACAGACGTGATGATGAATGTGATGACCGACGTGGTGATGACAGACGTGATGATGAATGTGATGACAGAAGTGGTGATGGTTGTGATGACAGACGTATTGATGAATGTGATGACAGATGTGGTGATGAATGTGATGACCGACATTGTGATGAATGTGATGACAGAAGTAGTGATGGGTGTGATGACCGACGTGGTGATGAATGTGATGACATACAGTTTGTACGTGATGATGAATGAGATGACAGACGTGGGGATGAATGTGATGACCGACGTGGTGATGAATGTGATGACAGACATGATGATGAATTTGATGACCGACGTGGTGATGAGTGTGATGACAGACGTATTGATGAATGTGATGACAGACGTGGTGATGAATGTGATGACCGACGTATTGATGAATGTGATGACAGAAGTGGTGAGGAGTGTGATGACCGACGTGGTGATGAATGTGATGACCGACGTGGTGATGAATGTGATGACAGACGCGGTGTTGAATGTAATGACAGAAGTGGTAATGAAAGTGACGACAGACGTGGTGATGAATGTGATGACAGACCTGGTAATGAAAGTGATGACAGACGTGGTGATGAATGTGACGACAGACGTGGGGATGAATGTGATGACATACGTGGTGATGAATGTGATGACAGACGTGATGGTGAGTGTGATGACAGACGTGGTGATGAATGTGATGACAGACGTGGTGATGAGTGTGATGACAGACGTATTGATGAATGTGATGACAGACGTGGTGATGAATGTGATGACAGACGTATTGATGAATGTGGTGACAGAAGTGGTGAGGAGTGTGATGACCGACGTGGTGATGAATGTGATGACAGACGTGGTGATGATTGTGATGACAGACGCGGTGTTGAATATAATGACAGAAGTGGTAATGAAAGTGACGACAGACGTGGTGATTAATGTGATGACAGACCTGGTAATGAAAGTGATGACAGACTTGGTGATGAATGTGACGACAGACGTGGGGATGAATGTGATGACATACGTGGTGATGAATGTGATGACATACGTGATGATGAGTGTGATGACAGACGTGGTGATGAATGTGATGACAGACGTGGTGATGAATGTGACGACAGACGTGGTGATGAATGTTATGACAGACGTTGTGATGAATGTGATGACAGACGTGGTGATGAATGTGACGACAGACGTGGGGATGAATGTGATGACATACGTGGTGATGAATGTGATGACAGACGTGATGATGAGCGTGATGACAGACGTGGTGATGAATGTGATGACAGACGTGGTGATGAATGTGATGACAGACGTGGTGATGAATGTGATGACAGACGTGGTGATGAATGTGACGACAGACGTGGTGATGAATGTTATGACAGACGTTGTGATGAATGTGATGACAGACGTGGTGATGAGTGTGACGAGAGACGTGGTGATGAATGTGACGACAGACGTGGTGATGAATGTGATGACAATGGGGAGTATACAACGATATGACTATTGCATATGGTTAGTCGTGCGAGGGTATGATGATATTATCGCAAAAATTAGCGAGCGATTGTAAAGTAACATAATACACTGGCATTGTTAACGAAGGATTATGTTTACGGTGTAATCAAACGCACACATTACGCTAAAATGCATACGTGTTAGCTACCATGAGTATTCATTATTCAATTACTCTTATTTCCTGAGGGACGGTCGGGTATCCCATTTCTGGTGTGCCCCGCCGTGATGTTGCTGGAATATTGCTTAAAACTGCGTAAAACCATACTCACACACTATTATTTCCTGAACATACTTATGACACGTACTTGTATAACATTGGTATCTTGGACATGTTCAGCATTTGTACCCCGTTATTACAATGTCAGACGTATTTATAACAGTTGGAACGTCTTATATATATGGATATAATTTATTCATTTATCATTTAAAACTGGCTCCCACATGAAATTGCATCACAATGCTTTGCAGACCATTGTGACGTCACAATAAAATGACACCATTAATGGTTCTGCTACTCAAGCTGTTAGCAGTACGTTTTACATTTAAGACACTGCTTATTACTGTCCACAAACTGAAAAAGTTGGAAGAATGATGGATGATAAATAAAATATCACCCTCGTGTCTTTTTATATCAAATATATCAACACTCGTTGATATATCTAATATCAAAAGACACTCGGGTGAGATTTTTATACATACATATATATGTATGACATTTGTGACCTGTTATAACACGGACATGTATTAAATAATTATGTAAGTGTTATCAAATGCAAATTATAACATTTGTACTGCCTTATAACATGTTTATACGTAACGTATGTACTGTGTTTATAAAATGCACAAATTGAATATTTGTTCCGCATTTTAACACTTACAATTTCATCGTGTAAAACCATGCACTTTATTTAACAGATGTACAGTATAACAAGCTGGTATATAACATGTGTAACGTAACATGTAAATATATATAACATACTATCGGGACTGCAACGGAGATAACACTTTGTTTGTTAAAGGCGGTTTTATGTGACGTCATTGCAACAATTGTTTGTTGTTTGACGCCGCAGTCAGCAATATCCCAGGTTTATGGCGGGCGTTTGTAAATAATCGCGTTAGATCAGACTATCCAGTGATTGACATCATAAACATCGCGCCATGTAATTGGGATATGATGACATACATCAACCACGTGCACCCGATCCATAAATTCGCCTCTTACGACAAGCAAAGTTTGCTGGAGACCTGACGTCTCAGTCGGGATTCCCAAGGGCTTCTTGCTCTGTTTATACGAAGAATAAACTGCTTAATAATTATTGTAACTATCATGCTTGTTTTGCCTAATCTGCCTTTTCTTTGAGTTTCGAACCCGAACCCGAACACGACACTACAATCTGTATCCAGCCCCACGAACACAACTCTGTTACACGAGCTTGCATCACAAACAGATTTAGTTGTGAACTCTCGATTCATTATTAGTAACTATACAAAAATGAGTATGTTGTCAGGTACATGTGTATGATTTTTTTGATTTTTTTACAAAGAGATGCGACTCAATGGTATCTGAACCTGGGAACCAATGTCCTGACCCCGAATTCCCACCAATGATATATGTTTTGGTTGTGTTTGTTTGTTTGTTTGTTGTTTACGCCGCACTCAGCCTAAGTCCAGCTGTATGACGGCGGTCTGTAAATAATTGAGTTTGGACCAGACAATCCAGTGATTGACATCATGAACATCGATCTACGTAATTGTGATATGATGACATGCATCAACCAAGTCAGCGAGCCTGATCACCCGATCCCGTTAGTCGCCTCTTTCGACAAGCACAGTCGCTTCTTACTTGTGTGTTGTTGAAGACCTATTCTAACCCGGATCTTCACGGGTTTTGTGATTTATGTTGACACAATGATATGGTGTCGACAAATTCCTAAACCAACTCGTCAAGCTAGAATGTGTTCCGCCAATAATTCATAATCTGTGCAAGATGCTCTTTGTTGCTTTTTAACTACCATCCTCAGCACCAGAACAAAACAGTGTCGGATTAAAGGGAACCACTAATTATACATGAAGCTTATACATGTGTTAAATGTGTGAAGAGCCAGTCTTCAAACGCTTGGAACTCATATATACCGGCCGGCCACCCTACATATTCATGGGAGATTATGTCGCCTATAAAAAGTAATAGGCTCCACGCATGCCAAACATTTATGTCCAACAGCTGTCGATAGATCAAGTCGAACATACTCTTAAAACGCATTCTCCGGGTATCGTAAACCCAACATTGCGTAGTGCGTTCAGTGTCGAGAGATGAAGTCTCTACACACCAGTACGTGCCGGCTTTCTGGAATGAAAAAGTGTTCACTCTAAGTTCGCATGTGAACTGATTTGGGGGTAATAATTTAGCAGAGTGGGTATAACTGTGAAAGATGATGTGTAGGTGTGTGAGTGTGTGTGAGTGTGTGTGTGTGTGTGTGTGTGTGTGTGTGTGTGTGTGCGTGCGTGCGTGCGTGCGTGCGTGCGTGCGTGCGTGCGCGCGAGTGGAAATGACATCGTAAATAAATGTCTCACATCCTAAATTGGTACAGAAAGAACGAAAGGCGTACTCACCATCAACGACTCTCCCAACGCGCAAATACAATCGTAATCACTTCGCTTGTACAAGATCAGTCGGATGCAGGTCGACAGTGGTTCCTGAGCTGACGTTTTCCCGCCAAAACTGATGTCGTCTGTTCAATGTTAACAATCAGACGACATCCCAACACGCACGCACCTCCTCCGAGAAAACTGTAAATGATCAAGATGAACAACTATTAGTTCCACTCCTCACCTAGTTTGTTTAATCGATGGAACTTAGAAGCAATGACTACCGAGCAACGTCTTCCCTGCTGCTGGCGAGAGAAACTGCCCGCCTCTTGTGCACGTGCCGTAATGTTTACCATGAATGCCTCTCGCCACCTTAGGGGGTCAAGCCGAGGGTTATTAGGACACTAGGAAAGAAGATAACACGATATTGAATTCTAGCGAGTGCAGATTTAGAGGGTTGATAGTTATTACGTCTGTTGACATGAGAGGATTCACAGAGTGGGTTTCCGTTTGACAGGGGCTCTGGAGACGCAAAGACCAGAATTATATAGAAATGACGCCAGGGCGAAGAGCATCCGTCACGCTAGGAACACAAACGGTGACGGCTATTTCTGGTCCGCGTGGACACCCAATTCCATTGAATATTCTGAAGCATGGTTCTCAGACAATCACTTCAGTGATTTTCGTAAAAAATACAAATATGGATTCAAACGTGAGGTATCTTTGTAAATGTCACTGTATCAGAAAACGTCGTGTAATCGGGAAAGCTAATGTGCTGCAAATCATAAATATAGATTCAACTGCCATTTTAAAACACATGATATTCAACACATCCCACTGGGAACACATAAAGGTCAGATTTATTCAGTGTTATGTCAACTCTGCGAATTCCATTTTTCTATTTGTAATTCATGTTCATTTAATGGAAGGGTCTGTTTTATACAATATTCAAGTATTTGAAAGGTAAGCGGATCTCTGTCAGGGGAAAATGCCCATTCTCAAAGATATAAAAAACCCATCTCACATAAACTCAACATACCATAAAAACCGCGTTAATACGGGCAGTTCCTGCTGAGGGATTAAAGTATTTATAGGTTAACGAATTACAGGAACTTATTAGTGCACAATTTCATGTATACGCACCAACACTAAGCGATGCAGACAAACCAAGAATCTGGTATTTCAACCTACGATCAGCGGATCCTGTCAGAAAAAGGGAGGCAATCCTGCATAACATTTGCAAAAGCTTAGATGTCTGGGTCTCCCGTTACTATGCAAGGAATGCTTGATTATGACTAAACCTACGTAAATACGTTGCTGTTTAATGATAATTTATAATGGGAGGGAGTAAGTGAGTGAGTCTGGTTTTACGGCGCTTTTAGCAATATTCCAGAAATATCACAGCAGGGAACACCAGAAATGAGCTTCACACAAATAGGGAATCGAACCCGGGTGCTCGGCGTGACGAGCGAACGCTTTAAACACCAGGCTACCCCCACCGCCTTGAGCACATGCAGCATGTCACCAGTTCACGTGTAACCAATCGTGACCCCTTGTGTTCCATCAAAACTTCGCTAACGTTATGTTATGGGATTCCCATTTTATTGAATATTTGATTAAAGTCAATTCTGTATTTGCAAAACGTGTACTTCAGACAGTAAGTGACATAAAAACCTTCTTGTGTATCGCTTTTAGCAACATTCCACAAATCCCCCATGCGCTACAAGCGTTAACACCTTGTGTCCATGTGGGGAAACAATCCGGGTGTTTGAAAGAATTCGAAGTGGCAAGTGAACTATTTTACCAGCAGGATTCAGAGCCGCCCCACATATACATTAACCTCTGCTTGAAGAAAGAGAACAAGAATTATCCTTATATTTTAGGAAAATATTCAAAGCTATCAAGCAAAAAAAACAATAATAATGATGGTAACGATGATGATGGTGATGATTAGGATGATGATGATGATTTCCATAATCATGAACAATCTCTGCGAAGAACAGAGTCCGTGGCACGACTCAGGCTTCATCATGAGCTTGTGTTTACGAATCTCCAAAACCAATCACTTTGAAAAAAATGACATTGATGAGATGCACAGCTAACTATCTCTCAGATGGAGTATCGCCCACAACGTCACTACTGGAAAGAGGCCAGAATTCGAAACAGAATTAGGTGTAGAGTGAAAAAATTAATTTGAGATACATTGCGTCTCGTATGTCACCCTGAGAGCACGTCAGATGGTGAACAATGAGGCACAAAAACGTTTTATTGTTATAACAGAGCTTTAAAACGTATTACGAGGCGGTATAAACGGGCGAATTTCATGGTCAACGCTATGGGGGGTTACGCTTAATGTTAGTCTCATTACAACAACAGCTGTGAAGCACTTGTGGAGGTCGGGGGCATGTATGGGTGTCATTGATTTCTTAGTCAGGGGATTTTTTTCATCCAAATATATTTCATTTTGGTCACTGGAGCAACGGCCTTGTTTTGATAAATTATATTTTTAGTCGACGCCAAATGAATGTCCGTATATTGCTCAGGCATTATTCGTTTTTTGTATCATTAATCACCTTTGAAACACAAAAGGTCAGGGGCAAGGTTCTGGACAGAAACATTGTGGTTGAGCCATGCGGTTTTGTATGATTTTGTCTGTCTTGCTATAAAAGTGATTCGCCTGTTTTACATATAGAAGGTATCAGCGATCTAATGATCAATGCGAATGGTTCAAACACAACCTTGTATCCTAATTATTGTTACCGTCGATGTTTGTAAACACCTTCTTGTAGTCTTACCATTATTGCCTATGCTTCTTAACATCCTGTTGTATTCTAATCTTTGTTGCCAATGTGTGTAAGCATCCTCTTTTAGTCTAATCATAATTGCCAATGTTTGTAAACATCCTCTTTTAGTCTAATCATTTTTGCCAATGTTTGTAAACATCTTCTTTTATTCTTATCTTTGTTGCCAATGTTTGTAAACATCTTCTTTTAATCTAATCTTTGTTGCCAATGTTTGTAAACATCTTCTTTTAGTCTGATCTTTCTTGCAAATGTGTTTAAACATCATCTTGTAGTCTCATCATAATTGCCAATGTTTGTAAACATCATCTTTTAATCTAATCATAATTCCCAATGTTTGTAAACATCCTCTTTAGTCTAATCATAATTGCCAAAGTTTGTAAACATCCTCTTTTAGTCTAATCGTTGTTGCCAATGTTTGTAAACATCCTCTTTGGGTCTAATCATAATTGCCAATGTTTGTAAACATTCTCTTTTAGTCTAATCATAATTGCCAATGTTTGTAAACATCCTCTTTTGGTCTAATCATAATTGCCAATGTTTGTAAACATCCTCTTTTGGTCTAATCATAATTGCCAATGTTTGTAAACATCCTCTTTTAGTCTAATCATAATTGCAAATGTTTGTAAACATCTTCTTTTATTCTAATCATAATTGCCAATGTTTGTAAACATCTTCTTTTATTCTTATCTTTGTTGCCAATGTTTGTAAACATCTTCTTTTAATCTAATCTTTGTTGCCAATGTTTGTAAACATCTTCTTTTAGTCTGATCTTTCTTGCAAATGTGTTTAAACATCATCTTGTAGTCTCATCATAATTGCCAATGTTTGTAAACATCATCTTTTAGTCTAATCATAATTCCCAATGTTTGTAAACATCCTCTTTAGTCTAATCATAATTGCCAATGTTTGTAAACATCCTCTTTTAGTCTAATCGTTGTTGCCAATGTTTGTAAACAGCCTCTTTGGGTCTAATCATAATTGCCAATGTTTGTAAACATTCTCTTTTAGTCTAATCATAATTGCCAATGTTTGTAAACATCCTCTTTTGGTCTAATCATAATTGCCAATGTTTGTAAACATCCTCTTTTGGTCTAATCATAATTGCCAATGTTTGTAAACATCCTCTTTTAGTCTAATCATAATTGCAAATGTTTGTAAACATCTTCTTTTATTCTAATCATAATTGCAAATGTTTGTAAACATCTTCTTTTAATCTTATCTTTGTTGCCAATGTTTGTAAACATCTTCTTTTAATCTAATCTTTGTTGCCAATGTTTGTAAACATCTTCTTTTAGTCTGATCTTTCTTGCAAATGTGTTTAAACATCATCTTGTAGTCTCATCACAATTGCCAATGTTTGTAAACATCATCTTTTAGTCTAATCATAATTCCCAATGTTTGTAAACATCCTCTTTAGTCTAATAATCATTGCCAAAGTTTGTAAACATCCTCTTTTAGTCTAATCGTTGTTGCCAATGTTTGTAAACATCCTCTTTGGGTCTAATCATAATTGCCAATGTTTGTAAACATTCTCTTTTAGTCTAATCATAATTGCCAATGTTTGTAAACATCCTCTTTTGGTCTAATCATAATTGCCAATGTTTGTAAACATCCTCTTTTGGTCTAATCATAATTGCCAATGTTTGTAAACATCCTCTTTTAGTCTAATCATAATTGCAAATGTTTGTAAACATCTTCTTTTATTCTAATCATAATTGCCAATGTTTGTAAACAGCCTCTTTTAGTCTAATCATTGTTGCCAATGTTTGTAAACATCCTCTTTTGGTCTAATCATAATTGCCAATGTTTGTAAACATCCTCTTTTAGTCTAATCATAATTGCCAATGTTTGTAAACATCCTCTTTCACACCCTCTAACCGAGGGAGCCTCCCCAACATGGGACGTGTTTTGCTAAACACTGTTTATAATATCACAACGCAGAAAGCATTTATGTATATTCGACAAATACCTAACAGGGTCTGTTTTATTCCATTTAGTCTTTTTTCGTCCTTCATAACGCTGTACTATTTGTTTTCTGTACACTACTATCTATATTCTTCTTGTTACTTATGTCCAGCGGTTTGACGTAAATCAAATCTATCTCAGTATGTTGTATCCAATGCGCCCACGAGCAAACGTTCCAGTCCTGCTGCTGTTATTGAATGCACGGAATAAGCAGATCTGTGGGTTCTATTGTCGGGTCGTGATTATGATTCTTAAGTTTGTTGAGATGCATTGTGAAATGCTGATTGAGCATGTGCTGTTTGTTTGTTGTTTAACGCCGCACTCTGCAATAGTTCAGCTATATGACGGCTGTCCGTAAATAATCCAATCTGACCCAGACAATCCAGAGATTGACGTCATGAGCATCCATCTACGCAATTGGGATACGATGAC